AGTTGTATATATATATATATTCAATGATACTGTTCTTTATGGTCAGTTTATATGTTGATACTTGTCTAGATACTTCATCATCCTGACGTAAACTACTAGCTGTCGTAAGAGTGAGTTGAAGAGATGCTAGACTCAACCAAACTGAGACATATTGTAGACGTATGAAGTCATTGACTGTTTAGATGAGTTCTGTTACGAGATGCAGAGTGCCTTGTTGAGTTTCGTACAATGTTTGTGACTGGTGATCAGATACCTTAATTGATATGGCCCAAAAGTGGTGATCATGGCATAGATTTATTCAGTCCTTGTAGTTTAGTTTCAATACATTATTTGCATTATGGGGCTGTGGAGATTGTTGAGTTACTTTTTGAAATCATGAATCGATCAATGTTAGACCACAATTAGAAACCTGGAAGCACTGGACGGGCGTTTTTTCCTGGTATAAAACTCACCATAATGCAATTACCTGTGTTCACTATTGACTATCACCGTGAGGAATCTTCTCCGAGTTCTAAAGAGAAGTCATGACTGGTGGAGCTCAACCTTATTCAGGTGTGAAGCAGTGCTCACTGAAGACAGTGTATGAGTCTGCGCAAGACCATGAGTTGATCGAAGTTAGACATTAACACCGTGAGATACCAGCTCAGTGGTCCACGGGTTAAGCGTTCGCGCGCAAGACCGAATCTCCTGGATTCGAATCCTGCGAGTCGTGAGCGCGCGCTGCTGATGAGTCCCATTCCAGGATGAAACGGCCATCTAGTACTTCCAGGTATCCAATGGTGGTCTAACACTGGTCGATTCATGGTTTCAAAAAGTACATTGTTCCTCTACCTTCTATCCTAGTAATTAATTACCTTTTTTCAAACAATATTCTCTCTGTTTTGTATTTCTTTATTATCTCTTGCATTACTGTTATTATTTTGACTAACGTAATAAACATCCTATTAATTCCAGTTAATTGTACTGACCTAGTATGATAATTTGGACTGATGTATATTTATGCCGGATTCTATGTTTTTTATGATTAACCATTTGAGGCGAAAATGGAGAGTAAGAAAAATTACTATCAATTTGTGATAGCCTTTTAAATCTAATTGATGTAAGAATTTCAAAACTATTATTGTGAACAGATTTTCACTCGTCTTTTGTAATTAACCGAAATGATTCTTATTAAGCGAGTGAATAAACGTTTATCAATTAATTATGATTGTAGCTATGTAAGAGATAGGCTTATATGAACAAGTGTATATACTTGATTGATCACTGAGAAGTAACCAGTACCTTATTTGTCTAGTTCCTTATTTTTGATCACATTGACCTAGTTGCAATCTAGTCACTAGTTTAAATGACTCAACATCATCTACAATATGTTAGGATGTTAGGTGATTTAAAGTAGTCGGTAAGAAAACGGTCAGATAGGATTGTGTAGTAGTTATCATCAAGCGACTAAACAAATACAATAATCAACTAGCCATAAATAACTCATTCCTGCGCAATCGTGATTCCACGGGGTTTTCTGTTGACTTCCTTCAATTACCTTATGGCGAATTGCAGCTATGCACCGCGAAATAACCAAGTTAAATCCCTTGACAGCCAGAAGTCAAAAGACCCGTCGTGAATGGATTTAGAAGTATGTTTGTTGGTAATCTCGTGATATCGAAAGAATATCAAGATCCAGACAAATATTACAGGAGAGACTACCGAGACAATGTGAGCAATGTCATGGTCATGTGATCAGGAAGATAATGGTTTTTAGTATAGATAAACAAAGGAGTACAGTGAAACAATCATTGGTACAATTGGTTACAATAATAAATGTTTCCATTTCACCAATCGCGTTCTCTTCATAAAAGTATTCCACTACAACCTAATACCTGAGCATCTCAATTTAAGAAATTTTATAAAATGATTAATTTATTGAACCATAGAACAACAGTAAAAATGCTTTCATTATGATAAGTGGGAATTCGAAATATATGTTATACTTCGATAATCCGAAAAATTACATTCATTTAAGCAATGTACTTGGAGTATCTCAGTAAAAAAGAACGATTAGTCATTGATGAATTTTATTTAAATTACAATATTCTATAGAATAAACACATTACTGTGGCTAAGATTATTTCTACAGTTTAAATGGTTGTAGTAAATGTGTACGAATCTAATGAAGTTTAGTTCTTATAATATTCTTGTATAGCAGCATTAAGTGAACTCAAGTTAACTATATTAGTTAAAATATGCATTTTGATAACAAGATGCTTTACATGTTTGTATGGACACACATACGTAGGGAGGAGTAATCGGACTTTGCAGTCAAGGGTTATGGAACACGTACCTAAGTGGCTTCAAAATCAGTTAACGTCAGATGAGTCGATTAGCGTTGGAAATAGAAAACCATGTTCATCGATCGCAAAACACATAATTGAGACAAGGCATAAGATTGACATCAAGACAGCCTTCAAAACATTGTATGGAAACGTTGAAGGACGAATTTTGAGTTTTATGGAAGCCTTGGCTACTCGTAAATTAAAAATCCCCCATTTACCCTGGTAATCTTTGAGCCATTGTATTGCGTTGAGTAATGTGCCAATTTCCCACCCTTTCTTATTCTTTCTATATTATGTTAATTTTCTCTCTCCTTCATTTACAATGATCACCTTAGATCTCTAGGAACTTTTATTTAATTGACCTTTCATTAATCTTCACATAAAATACCTTGAAAAGAGTAGGTGTATGTAACCAGTTTGTTCGAAATGTATCGCGCAAATACATCACATTTTTCAGATCACTTACGTCTTCTCACTGTTCTATCAAAATTTATAAAAGAGACTAGTTGTTTTAAATGTCAGTAAAATTAACTTTTGTTTTAACAGTAAGAATGTCTGTTTTTGTTTACTGGTGCAAAAATTGTTTATTTCATCTGATATTAGGTGGTTGGAAGTAGTCAGAGGAAACTCTCCTCGACCTCGTTGATACTCTTGAGCAAAGTATACTTGAAGTCATGAGTGAATTTATGGCCTCAGTGAAATTTTATTTCATGTAACTCAGTTTCAGAGTCCTCTGAAATTACTGATGAGCTATTAGGGAAGCGACGATTGATTGACCACTGTGTAGTAGTGACCAGTATAATTTTTGTAGTCATTTGAATATCGATCTACTGCTAACGACTTTTGTTTATTGTTTGAACGATTTAAAGTGATAAAATGAGATCTTTCATTTGATTCAAGAACAGCTTGTTTCCAAAGAAGGCTAATAATAAGTTTTTGTTTAAATCACGAACAGTAGTTGGTGGTGACTTGTAAGAAATTTCCATTTGATTAGCATCGGATCCATATTAATTGTATCTTAATTATTTCAATGAAGTAAACTTTGATTTTTGGGTAGATTTCGTAAAATAAGTAGTTAAGTCGATTTAAATGACTGTTGACTACAATGAAACGCTCATCATAGATTCCACTAGACGCCACATTCCATCTACTTTATGTCAACTTGTGTTACAATGGCTATATCGTGACAATCCTCACAGAACAGTCGTATGATAACCAAGACTGAATTGAATTTACAACTGTCACCCCTATGGAGCATAGGCCGCCATCCAGCATTCCCTAACCTTCTCTGTTCCGAGGCTTACTATCGAGTTATGTCCGATTGACATTCATTCTTCTCATGTCTGTCTCCATTTCTCCGCAGAATGTGTTCCTTAGTCTTCCTCATTTCCATCGCCCTTGAGGATTTCGGGTAAGAGCTCATCTTGTGACACAGTTGGGTGCTTTCCTCATTGTGTGTCCTATACACTTCCAGTGCTTCTTCCTACGTTGGAATCTGGTTTGTTCTAGCCCACAGTAGGTGGTTGCTGATAGTGTCTGGCCAACGAATCCGACGTATTTTGCGTAGACAACTGTTGATGAGCACTTGTATGTTCCGGATGATGGATTCCGTAGTTCGCCAAGTTCGTGCCCCATACAGTAGAACTTTCTTGACATTTGTATTGAAAATTGTGACTTTGGTGTTGTTTGTAGAAATGCTGCCCTTGATTTGTCGATCCGCGCTTTCATTGCATTCATTGCATTAGATCCGGCAAGCTCATCAATGATGCTGCTCAGATATTTCAAGGTTTTTACATCTTCCAAAGCTTCAGAGTGAAGTGTGATTTGGTTTGTGTATGTTGTGTTGTATCGGCGGATCCTGCTTTCCTTTGGTGTACGTTGAGACTTACTGATGATATTCTGGTCATCTTCGCCTACATTTGTTGTGAGTGCAGTGGAAGAGCCAAATCATCCGTGAAGTCCAGATCGTCCAGCTGCATCTAGGCAATTCACTGTATCTCGCACTTCACCTCAGGTGTAGATGATTTCCTAATCCAGACGATCACCAGGAGAAAGAGAAAGGGTAAGAGTAAGTAACTTTGTCTGACACTGATTTCCACTTAGAACGATTCTGTGAGGTGTCCTCCATACAAGATTTTGCAGTTTAATCCATCATAAGAGTTCCGTAGGATTTTGACAATCTTTTCAGTCACGCCACATTGTTAAAGAAGCCTCCATAGTGTCATTCTGTTCACGCTGTCGAATGAATTCTCTTAGTCAAGGAAGTTGATGTATAGTGGTGAATTCTGTTCAATCGACTGTTCCACAATGATCCGTAATGTGGCAATTTGGTGGGTATGTGAACGATTCTTAAGGAATCCAGCCTTTAGGTTATACCAATCATTAATGTAAAAAGCCTAGTTTCCCCATTTTATATGTCCATGTTCAATGAACTGACAAGTCTATATTTTCTTGCTTTTTTCTTCACATTAATTTATGTTTTCTGGCATATGATTTCTAAAAAGCAAATTGCGTTGATTAGTTTTCAGTGACGAGCTCTGGATATTCTTAGTTAGAAACTTTGACCAATAAAGTTCAGAGATATCTTGGATGTGAGGGAGTTTATCGATGTTGACTGAAAGATGGTTGTGTAATGTAGCAGCTTTATTATTATTTTTTCTTCTGTCTTTCTAGGTGGCATCTTGGCGTTTCGTTTTGGTCCTAAATGGGTTATCTTTTCAAGTTTATTCGGATGTGCTATAACAGAATTTTGTTTACCTAGTGCAGCACGTATTCGTGCTGAATTGTTAATTGCTTTACGTGTAATACAAGGTCTTCTTCAGGTAAATTCTCAAATGTTTTTTTTAATTTAAATGGATCATTATATTAGTTCACTTATTTCGCTTCATTCTGAATTAAATTATTGTCACATTACTAATAATAAGTTCATTCTTTTGTGTCGATTTGATTCTAGTAATTTGTGCTATATCCTAATTTGTTTATGACCAACTGAAAATGAACATTTGAATTCTCAAACGGTCAACCATGACTAATTAATGCTTGATTATTTCTCCTTCTTTATGTTCACTAATCAACGGAAATTATCTTTAAATTCATTAATCTGAAAACAAAACTATGTTCATTTTGCTCTGAAGACACGAGCATACAAAGCCAATTTTCATCACACACATTGAAGGATAAAGAAAGAATTGTTGAAATGTTGAGCAGTTAGAGGTAGTCTATAGGAAAACATGTTGGACCTAGGTTTCGTGCTGGTTAAGACATGCCAGACAAGCATATCCACAATTCGGGTTCAAAACCCATACCTCACATCTCATGGTCTGAAGTATTACTATTACCTTCCGTAGCACTGAAGTATTAATTGATTAATTGATTACTGAATACTAGCCAATGTAATGCTTATCTAGTCCTTTCAGTATTGATCAAATTCTATCAAAAAATATTTAAAATCTATATTCTACTGAATACAGCAGTTTCATTCAAGTTTTTTTTATTAGACACTGATTATTATCAAGTCAGTCGGTTAGTGAATCGCAATCAACGTCAAGCTAGACGCAAGTGTACGTTGGACCAAGTTACTTCATCATGATAGTAAGACAAGATAATATTAACTAGATGAATAACAAACAATTTGAAATAATTATAGTCTCAACAATAGTGAGAAAGATTGAACTTTAAAAATGTAGTACGAAGAGACAGAGTAAAAGGCATTTATATAGAGTAATTCTATGATTGAAGGTCTAGAAGAAGTTAAAAGTAGATCTATTTGCATCATTAAAAATGATTCTGAGCCATTTTACCTAGTTTTTGACTTAAGATTGCAGTTATTACGCGGATTTTAACCGAGTAGTCTATCTATCACCTTGACTGTGATGAATAGTTAAGGACTTCATGAACTAATGTCATATTTTAGTTGGATCACGCCTAGCCATTTTTCGGACATACTTTTAGATCGCTAAGCATCACTCATTGAAATAGGTGGTGGTCTGGGTCACGTAACACGTATCCCAAACGCTTCAGTCTACCAAGATTCATCACCTCATTTTCCAAAATCGATAGTTTTCATACAATATACATAATGTGTCTGATAACTGGGTACACTAACCTAACCTCTACTTTTAGCCGCTTCAGCATAAAAGGAGATTCTGGTGAAATTTAAACAATAGTGGACTTTGAAATACGTGTCTCAATGATAAACTTTATTTATTCTCTAACTTACAAAAAAACAACATTACGTATATACAGTTGTACTTATCATTCATAGAGAGAAAGAAACAAAACAGAAAACGATTTAACTAATTTCAATAATCTACTTTCTAACTTACTTCTTATTTTTACAACTTAGTATTTCATATTATTTTTCAAAAATCACACTACGTAATAATTAGTTAACCTACTTAAGATGATTTCTTACAACAAGAAACATTGATAATATGATCATCAGTTAGATAATTTATTAAGTAGTGAATTTACATGATTTAAATCCTAATGCTGTTCAACCTTTCACTTGTGTCTATTATTGTTTTAGAAAAATCGAATTTCACTAATCTCATAATCATGAACAAAAATCATACTTTAATCGATAGTGATGATAATTGCATAACTCTTGTACGCTTGTTTTTTTCTCTGACATTGTTGGTTCTTACTTTTGTGTTTTTGTGAAAAATTAGTATTTCTGAATGAAAATAATGGTTGATCTTAGGTGTTACCTTGAGGTAGTGATCAAGCTATGTTAGCTGGAGCATTCGTTCCACATGGTCCTACCATGTCAGGTAGGTCGGTTGGAAAGCGGCACAACTAAACGTCACAAGCTTGTGGCCAGGGGGCGGAGTAATATCACCAGCAGAACTGGGGTGTGGTAACATTAAGGCGTTTTTCTCATACAACCAGCATCTGCAGTACTTCTGCCTTTATATGACAGAAGGAGAGATTTAGAAACAGTCATCCCTATAATTAAAACACCTACTATTGTCGTGCAGATTTTCATCATCCGTTGTGAAGCCTTCCAACTGCGGAGATAACACATCAAAAACTGTTCTCTCTAAGGCTATGCATGATCGATCTTAAATAATTGTTTCTTGGACTGCAAAGTTATATTCTCAAGTTGTCACGGTCATCTATATCCCAGTTTTAATTCAATGTATCTCAAGAAGAAATTTAATTTCATGGTATGTTGTGACTACATTCGATGATAAATTTTGTTGTCCTTACATGGTGTAGTTTGACTCAACTGTAAATTTGTCTCTGGGTGTGTGCACTATGTCCAAGTTTTGTATTAAATTATGCATCTATCATTATTTTCAGTGGTTCTGAAGCTCCCATAATATCGTTCTGTATTGATAACCTAAGCTGGATAATGTACTCTATCCCAATCAGTTTCAGTCGATAGGTTAAGCTTGTGTAAATATCATGATCCTATAGGAGATCAACGGTAACCCGAATTACTCAATAGTGGTAGTGTCTCAGACTGTGCACTGGGTTACACAGGTTCTAATCACATAGGAAGTACTATTTCCCTGAAGTTTGTCATACATAACGCAAAACCTACTTAAAAAAAAAAGTTATTTTGCTGACTGCCACCAAATGCTACAGTTTCTAGTAGCAGTACTGAGTTTGTAAACGAAATTTATTTTGCATACATATACATCGACTGACCTTGTAAGCTGGGCATTACATTATGTTGCATACTGTAACCTTCTGCCTCATCAACACCAGTCAGTTTTGAATTATGTTCAAAAAAAGATTCTTGATCATTCACATGACTTGATCTCTTAGCTACTTAATAGGTATTAATTATAACTACGTGTTGATCGTAGTAATGTTATGTATTAATTATTAAAATTATTCAAGATACTCACTGTTAAGTAAATGTCACAATAACTTCTCAACTCTCATCTATTGTCGATCTTTAGTTAAATATTTCTTAGTCAATATTTGCTTATATTACTGGAGGATATCAAGTTCAGATACTTCAAAACACTTCGTGAAGGTTAGCTGTTTTTGTGCGAGTCCCTCCTATGAGTGTGTGTGTGTGTGTGTGTGTAAGTATAGTTTAACTATCCGCCATATTTTTTTTATTTAATTTCACTGAATTTCACTTGAATATTTATTGATGTTTATTAGCCTAATGAAAAGTAATCATATTCTTATTTGATTTGAAAAGGTTAAGTACTTGAGAAATTGTTGTATTACAGATAAATTATGTTTTGTTTATATAACTAAATCTATGTGTAATTTTCAAAGTCCATTTGTTTCGATTTATTTATTCTGTTGAATTAGTTTATGTTTTTATTGTTTAGATTTATTAAATGTTCAGTATCGTTTTTGTGCTCCATTCATTTTTATACTGTTTTCATACTACACTAAAATAAAATATGAAAGACCTTTATCTCAATTTTAGTATATATATATATATATATATATATATATATATATCAATCATATTTCAATATTGTTTTACATTGTTGTTTTGTAGTGTGTAAATTTACTGCGTGTTCTTAAGCTCGGTAATTAGCTCGTCTAGACAATCGTTATACTAAATGGCATCTGACGGTTATAAATCAGAAGGTGAACTCGTAGTGTGTTGAATACGTTTATTTGGGACACACCATAAAGCGAAGTGGAAAAGCAGTGAATAAAACGAATGAAGCGACGTGAATTGGAAAAGGCTGTTGAACCAACTCCAACGCGCTTCGCCTGTTCATTCGCCCATTCGTTTGCATTGTTAGCTCAACAGCCTTCTCCAATTCACGTCGCTTCATTCGTTTTATTCACTGCTTTTCCACTTCGCTTTATGGTGTGTCCCAAATAAACGTATTCATCACTAGGAGTTCACCTTCTGATTTATAACCGTCAGATGCCATTTAGTATAACGATTATCTAGACGAGCTAATTACCGAGCCTAAGAACACGCAGTAAATTTACACACTACAAATAGTGAGCCCGATGTGATCAAAATCGGCCACCACAAAAATGGTGAGCCCGACGTCAAAATCTGCCACCACAAATGTTGAACCCGCCGCAGTAAATCGGCCACCACAGTTTAAATCTTCATTTGTTTGTGGTATGGAAAACTAACTTGCAGTTCATGTTGTGCATAATATGTTTTGTGCACTTTTAAGAATTGATAATTCAGTGGAATTCATGTTTTAGTATTCATTACAGATCTCTTGCTAATCAATTCCATGATCTGACTACACTAAATAGTGTGTGTGAAAGTTGATATTTTTCCTTTTATCTCTGAAAATTGTAGGATACTAATATCTGAAAAGATTGCAATCTGATATTATTTGTAAACTTATCTTTTTTTGAATTGTTCATAGCAAAGATAGGTAAACAGTTAGTAATAGCCTCGGGCACGAAACAATACTTCACACTTCAAATGCTCATAAATCATCTTTGGCAGGCATATCTCAAATTAATTTCGGTCAATATAGTTTGACAACTTTATCAGTGAATTTACTACAACTACAGCGAAACTGTTGTGAGAGAATTACTTAAATCATATTGATAAGTGTAAATATTGATATTATTATCGCCTACTTTCAGTGACAATATCTGTTAATCGTATAAAAGCATATTATAAACGTCTGATGTGAATCTCTTATTATCTTGTGTCACAGATGATTGTTTAATCTCCAAAGGTTTATGTCTATATTATAACTTGACCAGTAAGTTGATGCAGTTCTCAATGTAAATAAAGTGATCAGAATGCTAAAAAATTTTGTTAAAACCCCAGATAACTTATGATTAATATCCTTAAATACAATACTACATAAATTTAGGTTGACATTCAAGACGTTGGACAATGTTAGAGATTTTA